AAAATTGTGAACACAACAAATCGAAAGCTCATACCTTTTCAACTGATAAAATGTATTTGGCATGCTTTTCCACCTTCAGCTCTCCCATTTTACCACCAATCAAACAAACTTAAATCGGACAAGAAATCTGCGAAGGGAAGGTCTGAAATAAGAAAAGTGGTAAATATAAATCAAGAAGCTTTATTTTCCCCAATCGATAGGAAGAATCGATAAAATTCGAATCCCAACTTCAGGAATTTTGATGTATTTTTTTTTAAATCTGGTAAAATGGAAAAAAAAATGATATTTTTGTTGTAAAATATGGACTAACAAAAGTCCTTTTTGTACAAATTTGATTTTGAATTTTCTACTTGTGTAAAAATGTCAATATAGGTGTACATATTTCACCTATAAATATTGCTCAATTTATTGAGCATTATGTAATGTAGAAAAGAAGAAAAGAAAAGAGGGAAAGTAATAAAGGAAGAAAAAATTTAGTAAAAATTATATCGATTTCTATAGTTGTGTTCTTTATTTTTCTAGTATTCATAACACGTTATCAGCACGAGCGCTCTACCCGGTCAGAAAGGTAGTAATATATTAATTATATACATGTATATATAAAATTAGTATATTTTACTAATATACATATTACCATTATTATTGGCGAGTAAGGCTATGCCATAGTCAATAATATGTGGTAAGATGATATTATTAAATTATTTATGAATTACTACTGATTATGAACATAATATTATTAATTGTACTTCACACCCACAAAATGGTTTACCCAGTAATGTGGCGTGGAATTTATAACTGCTTATTCGTGTACCCAACGAAAGATTTATCGAGTAGTGTGGGGTGACATTTTTATTTGTTATATTAGCTAAAATGTTTACTAAGTAACCCGGAAAAAAAATTATATGTTAATATGCATGATTAATTAAATTTTTCATGAATGATATAATTAACAAATATTATATCAATAATGTGTTTTTGTAAATAAAAAAAAAATAAAAAAAATAATAATAATAAAAAATCTAACGACTACATAACGGCTCTTTTTGTAACGGCTATTTATCAATCTATATATATCACACTTCATTTCATATATTTAACACTCATTCCAAAATACTACAATATATTCTCCTCAAGAAAAAAAAAATGTTTAATCTATTATTTGTAATTACCATTATATTGTTTATTATATACGCTTTGGGAATTTTCACAATGATGTATCATACTTCTGAATTTATATTTTAGGGTAAATTGCACCAAACCCCCCTGTGTTTAACGAAATATGTGCGTTTTCCCACTGTGTTTTAAAAAATGCACCAAACCCCCTTATATTTAAGAGTCTGATGCACACGTTCCCTTTTTTCAATTGGCCCATTAACGGTGTTAGTTTTTATAAAAAACCCCGTTATACCCTCTTAAATCTTAATATTATATTTATATTTACGATAAATTTAATTTCTCGCGATATCGTTCCCTTTTTTCAATTGGCCCATTAACGGTGTTAGTTTTTATCAAAAATCCCGTTATACCCTCTTAATATTATATTTATATTTACGATAAATTGAATTTATCGCGATATATTTGGCCCATTAACGGTGTTAGTTTTTATCAAAAATCCCGTTATACCCTCTTAATATTATATTTATATTTACGATAAATTGAATTTATCACGATATATTGAATATATCGCGAGAAATTAAATATCGCGAGAAATTAAATAAAAAATTTTTGCTGTCTCAAAGGATCGATCCTGAGACCTCATGATACACTAGCAAACACTTCACCACCACACCACTATACGGTTGAGTGCTAGATGAAGTAATGTTTAATATATATAGCATTACATATAGATAAATGAAATTAAATTTAGAAGATAATGTAAATTATATTAAATTAAATTATTAAAAAATAATCTTATAATAAGTTAAAATATAATAACTAAATTATATAAAATTAAGCGAAAAATAATTAAAATAACTTATTATATTAAAAAACACAAAATAATTGAAATAAAATTATAAATAAATATAAAAATTACTATTATAATAATATTATTGTATTTATTTAATATTATTTTTATTTATTATTATTTATTTTAATTTATATTATTACATATTATTTTGTTGCATTATTTATTTTATTTTATCTTAGTTAACAAACTTTATTTATTTTGTTTAACTTAAGACAATGAAATAAAATTAAAATAAATTTTACTAAATAAAATTTAGAAATTAAAATTATTTATTTACAATTAATATTATTTACTAAAAATTATATTATCTTAGTTGACAAACTTTATTTATTTTTTTTATAAGATAAATTTTAATAATAAAATTAGAAATTAAAATTATTTGTTAAAAAATAAAATCATTTACTAAAAAATTATAATTTATTTCAATTTTTCTCAGTGATATTGTATGTAAGAGTATATCATATTACACGTATTTGCTAAATTGTGTTTTTTTATTTTATTATATTAATTTATGATTTTTATTTACTTTAATTTATTATAACATAATAACTTATTTGATTTATTATATTATTTTACTTTACAATTTTTATACTTTATTATCTTATAAAATTATTATTTTATTATTATTTAATTTTATTATCATTGTTTTTCATTTCAAAATTTATATAATTAAATTATTTTAGTAATTAAAAATTATAAATTTATTTAATTTTAATTCATGCTATTATATTAAATTTTATCTTACTTTAAATTTAATTTGTTAAATTATTTTTATGTTAATTTAATTTATTTCAAGTTATTATTAGTATTAATAATTATTTAATTTATATATATTTACCTCTTAGATTTTTATTTACTTTATTTTTATTTTATTTAATCATTTTCGTATTATAGTATAAATATATGTGTGTTCAATAGTTAACACAACATTCATGTAGCTTAGTGGTTGTGTTGGCATGCTCCCCCTTTGCAACCTGGGTTCGAATCCCACTTCTTACACTAACAATTTTTAGCTATTGCAATAAAATTTAGGAGGGTAAAAAGGTAAATTAGTAATTCTGAAAATAAAAAAACTAAAAAGGTAAATTAGTAATTCTGAAAATAAAAAAATTGAACAAATCTCGCAATTAGAGAAGGTGTCACACACACGCTGTTAACTTGGACGGAATGGGGGAACCATGCATCTGTCACTTGAATACAAGGGGGTCTGATGCAGTTTTTAAAACACAGTGGGAAAACGCGCACATTTCCTTAAACCGTGCATCTGTCACTTGAATACAAGGGGGTCTGATGCAGTTTTTAAAACACAGTGGGAAAACGCGCACATTTCGTTAAACACAGGGGGGTTTGGTGCAATTTACCCTTATATTTTATGTATTAGGTTTTTGTATAATGTGTTTATTATTTGCTCTTATGTACGTTTTGGAGAATTAATGATTGTATATGTAATTTTTTTCGAATCTAAGCATTGATGTTTTATTTTATAGTTATCATGGCAAACCTGGTCAAACTCGAATTTGAAGCTCTTGATATATCTGGAAAAAATTATATTTCATGGACATTATAATGAAACATGAATATAAAATTTCAATTATTCATCAAGCTTCATATAGATTTTATCGGATACAAAAGGCATACAGTATCAAGCATTTTACAATTTCATAATATTTCATTTAAATAGAACTTCGATTTAAGACCAATATTAATATGGTTTATTATAATACATTAAATATATTATAGCTATGAAATGCTTGAATTTTGTTATTGTAAAGATAATTTGATACATGAGCATGTGCATATTTATGGATTGGATATCGAAATATTGAGTACATGAACATGCGAATATTTATTGACCCTTGTGATACGAAAATAAGTATGTGTGGCTACATAGACCGCCAGTGCGGCTCTGCAGCCGGCACGTAATATTTAATGGTAGCCGTTGGGTCAATTGTTGAAATATGAAAAATCATGTAAAATGGCCGAGCAGTGTATCCACAGAAATAAGATTTGAACAACTAAGTGAACCGGTCAGTGTATTGAATAATGTGATGGCCAGATGATAAGTATACTAATGATAACCGGTGATATGAAATGCCAGATGATAAAGCCATGTGCAACAAATATACATATAAAATGATATGAATGGCTATATATACATGGGCAGGCTAGTGCGGCTCTGCCGCCGGCGACGGACAATACAAATTAAGTGATAGCCGATGAATGGAATTAATGATACTTTGTATCTGGCAAAGTGAAAGTTAATTAAAGTCCTTGTCATGAACAGACATTATATGGACTAACCTGGTCCTGAAGTATCAGTTGATAAATATTCCAAATTTATGGAGATATGAATACTGATGAGATAGTACTAGAAGTTACCACATGATTAATGTGATGTCGGAACTTACGACATAATGATTAAATGTTATCCCGGTATGGTGGTACTGGAAGCTACCACTTTATGATTAAACAAAGTGATGAAATGGTACCAGAAGCTACCATTGGATGATTGAACAAAATGAGAAAACGGTACCAAAAGTTACCAGTTATGGATGATCACACAAAATGATTTCTCAATATGTTATATGAGTTTAAGTGACTATGTCAAATGATAAAATTACATTGAAATTCGAGATCATATAGATATTACAATAAAGTGCTCCAGAAAGAAGCACATATGATAATGATTGTAGTCATGAATTACTACACACTTATCTTGCGGAAAAGCGAATCGATATTATTATTACTGAGAAACAAGTACAGAATGTTCAGATGATGGACATATGGAGAAGAGGCAATAAATACTCGATGAATACAAAATACGCAAATATTACATAATAGAACCCATAAAAGAAGGGTGCGTCTCGAGAGTATAAAACTCCGTAACTCTGCCACCCATAAATGATATTTGGGTTCATAATGAGAGATCTAAAGGATCAAAAGCTCTTTTTCGCTTGACCACTTGTGTTTCCACAGAATCTTGAAATGTGATGCATTCTTGAAGCTTTTTGATAAGTTCAGCAGATGTGTCTGCATATTTGAATATTTCTCTCGCTGAAGGAGATATAAAGGTTTGATATACTCCTTCATTAAAAAATCCAAGAAAACCATGAAAGAAGTTATTAAAATTAAACAGACCTATGGGCTTATTATGAAGTTTCAATTCTGCCCAAGAAGCAATGACAAACATTTTCATTAAAGTTCCATAACCGCCTGGAAGAATGATAAAAGCATCGCTATTGTTCACCATATCCATCATACAGTCATAAATAGAATGAGTTAGCATCATACTCATAGAATCTTTGACGACCCTTGTTGAAGCTCTATGAAAAGGTATGATACTTTTCACTTCTATATCAAAACATATTCCAGCCATTAAAAGGTTATCAAAGAAAGTGATGCTAGTCCCTCGATACAGTAAATTGATTTTTTTATTCCCCATATCCCTTACTAGCTGACTTACAATATCAATATTTTGATAAAAACTTACCAGTTTAGAACCACCAAGAACACAAATGGTTTTGATCGGATGAAGAAAATTATTACCTTGCGAAGACTCTGGAACATCCATCTATTTATTGAGAAACTGAATTTTTCAAAACTTTGCGAGATATATGATTATGATGAATGACTCGCTATTTAAAGGAAAGTTTTTGCAAAACGATAAATACTTGTACTGTTTTTCTTCTGACAAATGCGACCGACAGATAAGGCATGGGGTTTTAAATAAATCTTATTTGTCGGCAATTATAAGGATTTTTGTAAAATTACAGTACAACCTACTAAATTGTATTAGTATGATTTTTCGTACTACCAAGACCAATTTTACAAACTTGATCTTTTGAAATAATATTTTTTAGACTGTAACATTCTTCTTCACTTTTGAACTGAGTCCATAAAGACATAAGCTCACGATGCACATACCCACTAGGATGTGTCTCAAGAATCTGTTGAATCGTTTGATCCATAGATTCCTTACTCAATCCATCCTTTATAAATGCTATTTTATCTTCTCGATTTTTGGACACGAACCCCACAGATTTACATCGTGTGTCACAAGTCCATCGAGCGCATTTGAAACATCCACCTAATCTTTTTGCTCTTCGTTTCTTTGCAAAAGTACTTTTACCCATACCTGGCATATATTTATATGAATAAGGAAACTCTCCAGACAATCGAACTTGTGCTTCGATCAACCATCGAACATCATTTGGAATACCATTATTCATAAGCACCCTCAATCTTTCTAATCGAGATCGATAAATCTTTTTTATGATATTTTTCGGAAGAAAAGAATAATATTTACGGATATTTGAGAGTGCTAGATGCATTTGAAAATTCGGCCTTTGTTAAGGATAATTGAATGAATTACCTGATAATTTATAGAAAAACATAATGCGTAAGAGATACGACTCTGGACTTAAACAGTGTTCAAAAGTATGTGTGTCATACGGCATGATACAATTATGGATTTAAACAGTGGCTAAAAGATATTGTGCCAGAGCCTACACTTAAAGTGTATTTATTGCCGCCGAAAGATGATGTGATATGTTTGTGATAAATGTGCCACAATGAATTATTGTGATGATTACTGATATAAATGATGATGGTTGCATGATTAACTGATTTTTGTGATATAAGATGTTTTGTTCTCGATTGGTGAAAAATATTACTAGCTAAATATTTGTGGATATATTTGATCAATCTGAATATGAAAGGGGTACGATATATATGGGCCCACTACCCCTCCATGTGTGCTGCTAGATATTATGGATCCACTAGTTAGCCACATGTGTGTGATTCGTAACCTGAAGTTATAAGATGATTTGATCAAATAATGGATATATGACACGTAACCTGAAGTTACGAGATGGTTTGATCAAAGAATGACACGAGAAGATTCTGAAAAAATGAAAATAAGTGTCATATGGAAGTGATGAAGCTAGTAATATACTTAGTTGATATGATGAACTCTTGAAAGAAAAATGTGCACATTACAAATGATATGAGTTCAAAGTCCTCCAAATATATGTTGAAATCGAGAACAAATTGGAGACTAAATGAATTCCCTCAAGAAATTCAATACTGAAAATACAGATCAGGGATCTGTTAAGAGATGAGGGGGAGAATCAATGATTGAAATTTGGAAATGATATATGCATCACACTGAAAGTGTGCAAATCATAAACTTTATGATACTGATGATGGTGAATTATATGAAATGATATGATGGTGGAATAATACGCTGGAAGCGTTGGTATTGTGCAAATTGAAATTCCCCAAATAAGTGATGAAAGGGGTGTATTTACTATTGATGAAATCAATTGATAATGAGATATCTCAATATACTACGGAGAATAATGAAAATGAATAAGTGTCAACACAAACAAATGAATAGCGCTATATAAATGATATTGACGAAAATGAAATCAGCTGAAATGTGAATATTGTGAACTATTGGCAGTAAGACCATTGAAATTAATTGATGATGAGAATGTGTTTAAAAATAAAAGTTGCACAAAGTATGATATGGCATACCATCAGTATCTGAAAATCTGAACGAATTTATATGATACTCATGCAAATTATGGAAAGATTATTATGGTAAATATATAGAATACGCGTTGTACTCTTTTTCCCTTGGCTGAGGTTTTGTCCCATTGGGTTTTCCTAGCAAGGTTTTTAATGAGGCAACATGGATGGCGTATTCACATGAATAGTGTACTCTTTTTCCTTCATTAGGATTTTGTCCCACTAGGTTTTTCCTAATAAGGTTTTAACGAGGCATATTCATGGTATGATGAGGACTACTGGATAAATAATATGATTCCTCACGATGATAAGAGAGACTGGAGTAGCTGTACTCTTTTTCCTTCGATCAAGTTTTTTCCCACTGGGTTTTCTTGACAAGGTTTTAACGAGGCAGCATATGTATATTCCACTACAGATGATCTATTCAAGGGGGTGTAATGTTGTGCTTCCACAATGCTCAGGTTTTGTCCCACCAGGTTTTCCTGAGAAAACAATGTTATGATTTCACGATGATCAGGTTTTGTCCCACCGGGTTTTCCTGACATGCTGAAGCAACGGTATCTGATGGCCATAAGATACACTTCAAGATGTGCCGAATGGGATTTGTTCAAATTAGTTAAAATATGTTTAGAAAATAGTCATTTAAGGGAGAGTGTTATGAAATAATAAAATAATGTACATTTTATATTTGTTAGTCCAAGGGGGAGTGTTGTAAAATATGGACTAACAAAAGTCCTTTTTGTACAAATTTGATTTTGAATTTTCTACTTGTGTAAAAATGTCAATATAGGTGTACATATTTCACCTATAAATATTGCTCAATTTATTGAGCATTATGAAATGTAGAAAAGAAGAAAAGAAAAGAGAGAAAGTAATAAAGGAAGAAAAAATTTAGTAAAAATTATATCCGATTTCTATGTTACCTAGTAAAATTTAGTAAAAATTTAGTAAAAACTCAATAGCACGAAATAAATAGCAAAGTTTACGAGAGCCACATAACTATGTTACCTAGAGAAAACTCAATACTCGCTTTGTTTCTTTTTAGATGTCGTTTTAATTTAAAATTTTTAAATTACGATTTTAATGGGTTGTGTAATTATCTTATATACTAATCCTCTTAAATTTAGTGTTTGAATTATTAATAGATCGTTTTTAAAGATAATGATAAGAGAGAAAGTTTTTATGTGATTCTGCTAAGATTTGTTAAAGAGGATAAAATAGAAAAATGAATAAAATATATCCGGCGACAACTAATTTGTAAAAAAATTAACATCCTACAACGGCATATAAAAAAAACAGAGCGAGTACAAGTCAAACTAGGAGCACAAAACAAAGAGGATAAAGGCAAATACAAACAATTGACTCCTCTACTTCCTACTCCAAATAAACTAGAGAAATGCAACTCAAAGGCCACATACCAACTGACCACAGGACCTAAGCCTTACTTTTATCCAACTTTAGAACCTTCCCAGGGCAGAGGTGCAACCAGAGAATTCAACCCAGTCAGTCATTGCCAACCTCACCACCTCTGCTTCACTCCTCCATTCTTTCTGAAAAATTCACAGATTCCTGATCTTCCAAATCCAGGTATGTGGATAGTTGAATTCTTATCTCAGCTACCTCCTCCTTCTCCATTGAAGCAATCCACCACCACTTGTTTCTGAAACTTTTAAAATTACAAAGCAATCAACACACATTGCACAATGCTGCCAAGAGAATTGGAAAAGTAGCACGCAGTTTTTACATATGGAGAAAGTATTTTACTTTTAACGCATAGATTTACTCCATCAACAAAGCCGAGCTGTCCGCCAAGGGCCAACCTCTGCCCATCACGAATCCTCTAGTCCCGTCGGGCATTCTCGATCTCGGTGGCAGTTTTGATGGTTCTTTTCCATGACTCAAAAATTGAGTCCCGTGGCCATGTCCATTTGTGACATGGTATTTCTGTCTCCTTCCACGCTCTCGGTTTCAATATTTGTGTCCATTTTTCTCGTCTGATACATGATCCACATTCTCATCATCGTGTGAATCTTCGTGTTGTTCACTTGTATGGTGATTCTCCTCATATCGAGTTGATTCCAATATTTGAGAACTGCCCCTCTCTTGCTCTGATTCCCTTCATATTTTTTTTTTTATGTTGGCTTGACATGTTCAATTTCTTAAGTAGCTTGACCCGCAATCCATATCTCCAATCTTGTTTGTTGTTCAAAGTGGCCACAACTTTCTCTGCAGCCTCCACAGTGTTGTACTCCACAAGAGCATGCAACTTTTTGCTAATCAGCTTATATGTAGTAGTGCACTTCTTTGGATCTCTGACGTCATGTGGCTCACGAATGGTAATATCTTTTATGTTTCCAGCTTCACCAAACACATGTTCTTTATTGAATGATCTGTTGGCAGGTTCTCCACCAATACCCTGTGCAGACCATAAGGTCTTTGATCTCAGCTAACGGAAGAGGATGAAGTCACTTCACCTTTTTCCCGTTGGAGCTAGCAACAAGGAAAGTTGGTAGAATTACCATAGGTTGGTCCTTCCGTAATCATATGAATCACCACCCTCTTGGGAGGTCTGACCTCTAGCTCCTCTGGCCTCCTCTTATTTCCTGCCTCATTCTCTTCTTACTTCTCCTTATATTTAACCACAATCTCCTTTAAATGACCTGCGTGTAAGTCATTTTATCTCGTCCTTGAGCTCCTTGCAGTTGTGGTTCAATGGACATAGTCACGGTGGTACCTACAATAAGAATCTCCTTGCATTGGGACTTACATTTTCCTCTTAGGTAGAGGTTGAGGCTTCCCAACATTTCCGTGTTTCCCCACTTTTCTAAGGTCTCATAAACTTGAACGATAAGTAGCGCCAATGGTGTGTATGCTCCTACTTAAACCCTTTACATCCTTTGTCGTCACTCCAAACATCTCTCCCTCGTCCTACTATTGCCAGGTCTCTATTTCTTCTCCTGACGTTTTTCCTTAGCTCGATCATTTGTAGAAAGTCCTCTTCAGTTTATTCCATGTTCATATACTTGGTACAATGCCCCAACATCTCGTCATACGATCTCGCGGCCTTCTTAACTAGAGAGTTTCGATAGTGACCTGGTATGAGACCTCGTGTAAGACCTCCCATTTTGATTTTCTCTGACGCTGAAGGGACGTCCACTCAAGCCCGTGCCAAACACGTCAAAGTTACAGATCGATCTAGCAAGTAGCTAGTGGAACCCAATCCTGAGCGGAGCCTTTCAACGTCGTCATAAAAGCTCTTCAACAAACCGCATCACTGTATCGGGGCAAGACCGACATGTTCTCAAAGCTCCCCAAGTGCTTAGCCGGATCCGTAGACCCATCATAGACCATACTTGGCTCCCAGAAATTCAGAGGTAGACCTACTTCCAAAACATCATCGGAGAAAGGAGACCTTGCACCCGTGACTGCCGTCGCCCCTCCATCTTAGCCTGGAGCTCCCTAATTTAATTTGGTTGGCCATGCTCGCCAAAGTTATGTCTCCCGATGGTCTGTTAATCATCGGTGACGCGATGGACTTCTCCTCACCATTCTAACTCCCGCACATAGTTGGCTTAGAGGTCACCGGGATGTGCTGCTCTACCACAGAGGTAACATGTTGAACCCCTGCAACAAGTTAATTCACCACAGCAGCTGGCGGCTCCACCACCGCATGAGGCTGAGACACCCTCGACCTACCGATCGCCTCTCCGATGATCCGGTCCAACTTTCCTTTGGTAAGATGTATCCCCTGCTCGCTCCCCCCACCAGAGCTTCTTTATCAGCTACCTGAATAACCATTTGATTCCTTTTCCCCTAGCAGGAAATTCCTGGATCTAGCTTTGGCGTTAAGACCTGATTCACCCCTGGCAAGCTCATCTTCGGGGTAACCATCTCTGCTAGACCATCCCAGCGGTGGCCCAACTCCAAAAGGCATTTTTGCCACCCACACCTCCTCCAAATTCTCATCCAAATTCTTCCTCCAACTCTCGTCCGCCATAGTCGTCTTCTCCATCTTAGGGTCATCTGCAACTGGTAGAGAAACGGTATTGCCCCACAAACGGATTGATGTGCTCTCGCACCCTGAACTGGTCTTTCAACGATCCTTTGACCAATTTTCTTCTCGGACACTTGCAAAAACGTCGGGAGGTGTTCCCAACATTAAACCTCTGACGATCAATTTATTAAAGGGGCTATGGAAAGTTGTATGAAAATATGTGTAAAACTTAAAGTATAGAGTGTGACTAACGTTTACCTTTTCCAAATGTTATCTATTTATAGTGATTTACTAGTACAACACCGTGTATTACACGGGTGCTTGCTAAATTTTTTTCTTAAAATTTAAAACTAATGAGAAAAAATGCTTGAAAATTTAAATATTTTGTACAAAAAGTATATATTATTAGATATTTTAGTATGACACTTGTTATTTGTGTGACTTACCTGTGTTATATTATAATAATTTTTCTAACTTATAACATATAACTACATTAAACATAAATATATTAATTGAGAAATAATTTTATTTTTCTAATTAATTTTATAAATAATTTTATTATCATAAAGATAAGTATAATATACTTATTTTATATATATAATATGGATGTCAAATCGAAACTCATCAAGATTAATTTGATATATTATATATGTAAAACCGATAAGAAATACAAAAGTTATCAACTTTTAAAATACATTCATTAGTTATAATAAGAAATGATATTAAAATACAATTAATACATATAAAATGATCATAAATAAATCCACATATTTATGGTAATCCAGACCTAATTATTTTTGGAATGAAATTAAATTAAAATCTATCTAAGCCAAATAATGAAGCATAAAATTTTGACACATAGGATCCTGAAACATGCGAATCTGCCACTTAGGCTTAGCATATTCAGGAATTATATATAGGGAGGATTGGCTTCTTGAACAAGCTTTGCCCTACCCGACTGCCGAATGCAAGATGACCTGCCCGACAGTTGTTTAGCTACCCTTAGGCCTGCCCGAGTTCGATCCTCATGCACATAATTATTTAACCCTTTCCTAATGACTCTACACGTCCCTTATTGACAGCTTGGGCCTTATCCACCATATTGTCCGACCTGTATTATTCCCGACCACTGTATAATGTCCGAGCTACTTACCCACTATATTGTCCGAGCTCCCTTATGTCCAAACTGCCAACACTCATAAGCTTGTCCGAGGTGCAGACACATTTGTCCGAGCTTCTTTATGTTCGAGCTACACTAGAGGTGGCCAGGTGCCGGGTCCACGGTCCACATGGACGAGGCCCGGACCCGGACCGAAAAAAGTGACGGTCCGGGACCGG